TGATACTCCGCGCGTTGCTGCGGAAATTGTAGCCAAAAAATTGAATATATTAGACAAAGAAAATATAAATAATTTGAAACACATGTTAAGCATGTTGTCTCCCAGCTAAAGTAAAACCATTTCATGCACAACCCGCTTAAAAAATAAAAATGTATTCCGTGTCTAGCAGGTTAGAATTGCCCGTCATTGAGAGGAATTTTGACCCCATAAAAAGTAACCTGCGAACATATGATATTTTGATTATCTAGAGATACATCCAGCATACATCAGTAATCACAAAAAGATGATTTGTTGAACGACAAATAAGATTATGGAAGCCATACCATCAAAGGAGATTTGTGCAAGCTAATTTCTTCACATGTTAGCAGATTACGTGTTGAACGGCAAAGGAGGTGTGCGGAAGCCATACCATGCATTAAAGGAGATTTGTATCACCATAACGTGGCTAGCAGGTTAGAATTGCCCATCATTAAGAAGAAATTAACAACAAAAGTAACCTGCAAACACTATTTTAATTATGTAGAGATACATGCAGAATACATTAGTAATCACAATAGATGATATGATGAACGGCAAAGAAGATTATGGGCGCCATACCATCAAAGGAGATTGCAAGCTAATTCCACATGTCTTCAGGAAAATCAGTGTAATCCTGGTAACAAAACTGAGGGACTGGAGTTACCTTAAGTTACACGATTGAGAGAATATGCTAGAGAAAAATGGAATAGTCAGTAGCCAATCTGCAACTTGAGCTTGAGGTTGTGCACAATGGAGTAGATGGTCAATTGGTCATCATGTGGTACTTGACGGCGTGGCCCTTCACGAGCTAGAACCTGCACAGGATGCCTAGCGCCATATTCATCCGCAGGTATAGCGAAGTGTTCCGGAGCACCGTCGCCGCCAATCCATCGGTCTGGCCAGAAGCTAGCAACATTGACGGGCTTCATCAAAATAGTGTGAGCACGACGGCGGCAGCAACGACGGCCCCCATCGCCGGCCCGGTGCCATCGTAGCCGCTAATCCCACGGGCGTGCACAATGGCGCCGATGATCTCACTCACAAGGTGCCGGTTCCCTTACCTTAGCGAACATGAAGATTATCTGTCGAGGATAATGGGAAACCAATCGTGGGGAAGTTAATTGGAGAGACGATAGGACGGCAGAAACGTTGAAAAATCGATCGATGGAGTTATTGGGAGGTGAGAAGACAAGGAAGGAAGACCCACCGGGAGAGGTGTGTGGAGCACGGTAGAGGTGAACTCTGCGACTGTAGATCTGAGCCACCGAGAATTTGCAAGGGTCGGCCTATGAGGGAGCCCGTGGTCAGCCTATGGTGGTTCCTTCTCCTGGTGGTAACTGAACTCTAACGTGATTGCTTTGCACACAGTCGACCGCTGACCGTAGAAGGAATAAGGCTGATTGGCTGATTTTACAAACTGATTGATGATGTGACACAAAGTTGATGTGAACAGTGTGCATGTTAAAAGAATAGGTAGAAATGAGAAACATCTTCTTAAGAATGTTAGACCAGTCGTCTGACAGGTAGCTAAAGCGATTGAACTTTGGCTCATTCGAGAATAAGAAAAAGGCGAGCTAGGGTCGGATACAGAAAAGTGGCCAGCGCCAATGGGCGAGAGCAATGTGGTATGTGGACACATTGATAGCCCGGCTGCCCGTCGGCAATGGCGGGATCGACCACGTCGCCGCGTGCTTCCGTCAGCGACTCGATGCGAGTCTGTAGACGGTACGCAGGACATGAGGTTTCTTTCCGCGCGGTGCCAAACTCGTAGACGAGCGCACCGCCACGGCGGCACCGACGCGGCAGCGTCACCGCGTGGCAAACAATATTAAAACACGGGAGTGGTTCCGCTGTCGTCGACGCCGTACGGCCGTGCAGCTAGCAAGGCACCGCGCCGTCCGTACGCACGCGGTGACTACTGTCCCAGTCGATCTGGGGATAGAGCTGCGACTGCGAGGCCATGCCGACAGACGCAGTAAAATTATCGCGTGCACTTTTTAATTAACCCAGCGCAGGTGCAAAACTTGTCCTGGCGAGCTATGGGGGAAGAATGGGAAGAGGCCGTAGCAAACATAGTCTTTTAATATGAAGTTGAGTCATTTATTTTGGAACGTAATAGGTATTTTGTGTGTGCGAGTGGATCAAATATGGACACTCGTGCATCCCATTAGTAAAATGAAAACAATTTGCAAATTTTGGTCTCGACCGGGCGCATGTGCATGCATGGAACCGGGCCGCCGACGCAACCTTGGCACTTTTTTTTGGGCGCTCGGTCCAGCCCAGCGCGAAACCAAGAAAACCGAAATGACCGACTCTTTTCGGTTTCCTTGGTTTCACTGGCGGAGCTAGGCAGGATCTTCAGGCGGGGCCAAACAGAAAGACTAATTGTTTGGGGGGGAGGGGGCAAAGTGTATACTTTTTCTAATCCAAGCATCCCTTAAGACATTTCCTTCCTATTCTTTGTCAAGGCTAGGGGGGCCATGGCCCCTGTAAGCTACAACGTAGCTCCACCACTGCTTGGTTTCACGCTTTAGTTCC